CTCACCAGGCTGTCACCTCCCAGGCACCGGGGAGACCCCCACGCTGAGCACCCTGGACTTCTACATGGCCAAACTGCACAGTGCCATCGAGAGCAACCCCCTGCAGCACGAGCCGCTGGTGCTGCGCGTCAAGGAGATCCTGTCCCGGATCGCCAGGTGAGCACAGGGGCAGGGGGTGATGGGAGCTGAGCAGGGAGGGAGTGGACAGGAATGGGCTCAGAGCTGCTTGGGGGAGCTGTGGGAGAGGGAAGCCCTGTCCCTGAGTTCAAGGGGTATCCCCACATTCAAAGACATAGAGCTGCTGGAGAGAGTCCAGAGGAGGCCACAGAGATGCTGCCAGGGCTGGAGCCCCTCTGCTCTGGAGCCAGGCTGGGAGAGCTGGGGGGGTTCACTTGGAAAAGAGAAGGCTCCAGGGAGACCTGAGAGCCCCTTGCAGGGCCTAAAGGGGCTCCAGGAGAGCTGGAGAGGGACTGGGGACAAGGGATGGAGGGACAGGACACAGGGAATGGCTTCCCAGTGCCAGAGGGCAGGGAGAGATGGGATATTGGGAAGGAATTGTTGGCTGTGAGGGTGGGGAGGCCCTGGCACAGGTTGCCCAGAGCAGCTGTGGCTGCCCCTGGATCCCTGGAAGTGTCCAAGGCCAGGTTGGATGGGGCTTGGAGCAACCTGGGCTGGTGGAAGGTGTCCCTGCCCATGGCAGGATGTGGAACAAGATGAGCTCTAAGGTCCCTCCCAACCCAAACCATTCTGGGATTCTGTGACTCATCTGTGCTTTCTTCCCTCCTCAGTGAACACTTGTGAGAGGACCAGTCCCTCTGGAGCCTGGGGCTGCCTGGACCCTGTCCCTGTCCCTTGGAGCTCACGCAAGGGACAGTCTCTGCCGGGGGTCCGGCTGCTTCCCCCCAACCCCTCGCACCTTTCAGCGTGAGCCGGGACCCCCCAGCCCGACCCTGCGGCTGCACCGGCTCCAGGACCTCGAGCTTTGGGGGAGAGGTGGTGGCAGAGCTGAGAGCCCATCCAGTGTGGGGTGAGGGGTCACTGGTGCTGTGAGCATCCCCCACTCTCCCATGAGCCCCCCAGCTCCGCCCTGCTCAACCAGGGCTCCCCAGAGCCTGATGGGGAGGTGCTGGCTGGTTCTGGCCTGGAGTGAATCCACCTCTTCCAGGGTGACCGGGGGCTGTGGTGCTGGGGGGGCAGCGGGGGTGACCAGGAGTCCCTGGGGAGGCAGCAGTGAAGTGACCGGGAGTCCCTGGAGCTTGGCACTGCCTCCCGGCCCCAGACCAGCCCGGGAGCCCCTTGGTCCCATTCCACAGTGGGATTGAGGGCAACTCCTTCCCCCGCCTCTGCCTTATTTAATCGTCCCCATGGGTGCCTTCAGCCACTGTCCCTGTCGCTTTGCCTGGCCCCTCTCTTTCCCCCCCACCTTTGGGACCGGGCAGGGAGTTCCTGAAGGCAATAAATGGCCTCACGCTGGAGGGGAGCTGGGACAGACCCCTTCCTGCAGTGGGGACCCCTGGGCGGGGAGGAGCTGGGGCTGACCCCTCAGTGGGGACCCTGGGTGTGCTGCACTGGCTTTCAGCTCCTGCTCCTGCCCCTCACCCCCTGCCTGAGCCCCCCTGCTCTTGTGGGACCACTGTGCTGGCAGCCACATCTGGCCGTGCTGTGCCGGGGTCGGTGTCCCCGGGGCTGCCTGTCACTAATCTCAGACTGTAATTAGAGAGTGTCTTATTTTCTTACTCTGTGTGCCTGGCCTGGCTCTATCGTGGGTCTGGGGTGCTTCCCCCACCCTCTCGCCTGCCAGGCCTGTGCTCTGTAGCTGCATCTCTGGTTTGCCATCTCCTGGTGCCGCTGGGCTTGGGATGGAGATGGGAGCAAATAAACGTGGGAGAAAACCACTCTGGTCTCTGTGTGTTCCTGCTCAGAGGGGACTCTGGAGCTGATGCTGGATCTATTCCCAGAGGTGCTGGGGTTGGTCAGTGCCCAGCCAGGGAGGGTGGGATGGCACCGGCTCGGCTCTCCCACCTCCAGCCTGTCCAGGGCCCTTCTTACGTGGCAGAGCTCACCCGATCCCCGCGGGTGACCTGCCCCCCCAGCTCAGGTTCCCGGGCGCGGGGATCGCCTTACGGCCGGCGGGGAGCCAGCCCCATCCATAATTCAGCGGTGCCGCCGGGATGCAGCGGGCGGGCAGGCACGGCCGGCAGCCCCCCGAGGGGGGGCCCCTGGAGAACGGCGTGGGGCAGGAGCCGGGGACCCCCGAGCCTCCCCCCGCCGAGGCCCCCGCGGCCCCCGGGCCCCCGTGCCCGGCCCAGGCTGGTGTTCCACACGCAGCTGGCCCACGGCAGCCACACGGGGCGCATCGAGGGCTTCACCAACGTCAAGGAGCTCTACGCCAAAATCGCCGAGGTCTTCGACATCTCGCCCACCGAGGTGAGGGGCTGCGGGTGCCCGGGGAGGGGGCTTTGTGCCCGAGGGGGGACACCAGCCCTGATGGTGTGGCCTGTGCTCCCACGAGTTCCCAGCTGCTTGTAAATGCAGTTCCCAGAATGTCCTGGAAAAGAATGCTTTAGTCTCTGGTCTCTATTGGCTCCTCTGGGGAAGGACTGGGGGGTCTTGCCTCTATTTCTCCCCTGCAAGTGGGCAGGGAACCAGTTGCCCGTTTCCTGGCTGATTCCAGCTGCCTGGCACTGTGAGGATGGGGCAGTGTGGGGTCCTTGGGCAGGCTGGGGGTCCCTGGCCCCCACTGCTCTAGCAGTGCCCAGACCTGACTGACCCCTACCATGACTGACTCCTGCCCTGGGCCCCAACACCGACACCCCTGCCGTGATGGGGCATCGCCAGCCCTGCTGATGGGGCTCCCCGGGGCAGATCCTCTTCTGCACGCTCAACACGCACAAGGTGGACATGCAGAAGCTGCTGGGGGGGCAGATTGGCCTCGAGGATTTCATCTTCGCCCACGTCCGGGGTGAGACCAAGGAGGTGGAGGTGACCAAGACGGAGGACGCGCTCGGCCTCACCATCACGGACAATGGGGCCGGCTACGCCTTCATCAAGGTGAACCCCCCTAGGGGGCTGGGCTGGGGCCAGGGCAGCCCTGGGGGCTGTGACCCTGTGGGTGACATCCCTGCTGCACCCCCTCCCTGCGACCAGGCTCCTCCCTGACTCCCCCCTGGGTCCACCCTGGTCCTGGGGGTCTCCCCTGCCATAGGGAAGTTTGGGGGGACCCTCCCTGCCTGACCCAGCTACTAAAGGATGGGGGCTGTGTCTGACTGTCCCACTGTGCCACCTTGTTGCTGCGTGTCCCTGTCCCCCCACCCCCAGAGGATCAAGGAGGGGAGCATCATCAACCGGCTGCAGACGGTGTGTGTGGGGGACAGCATCGAGGCCATCAACGACCACACCATTGTGGGCTGCCGGCACTACGAAGTCGCCCGGATGCTGCGGGAGCTGCCGCGGGCCCAACCCTTCACCCTCCGCCTGGTCCAGCCCAAAAAGGCCTTCGGTGAGTCTGGGAGTCCCCCTGCTGTTGTGCTGGGGAGTAGGGAAACCTTGGAATTGTCCCCAGCCCCTGGGGCCCTGCAGCCCCTTCCCCAGGGACAAAGTGCCTCGCAGGATCCACCCCTGTCCCATGGACACCTCTAACCTGCACCCCTATTCTTTGTGTACCCCAGGGCATCCCTACATTGCACCTATGTAGGCACTCCTCGGGGGTCCCCTCACCTGCTCATACTCCCTGTGGGCACCCCTGTTCCTCTGTGTGCCCTGTCCTAGGCATCCACGAACTCCCTGTAACCACGAGCATCCCCACCCTGTACCCCTGGGTGTCCCCCACACACCACCCCTGTCCCACACACAGCTCACCCTGCAGTGCCCCCAGGGGGGCTGGGGTATGGCTGGGCAGGGGGTAGAGGGGGCTGGGGGTGCCAGGCCGTGCCTGGGCCCTCACCCCACCTCACCCCCCACGCTGGGGCACAGACATGATCGGGCAGCGGACGCGGAGCAGCAAATCCCCGAGCGAGGGCAGAGTGGCCACCGGGAAGGAAACGCTGCGGCTGCGGACACAGGGCCCGCCCGTGCTGGAGGAGGGGGTAAGACCAGCCCTGAGCCCCCACCCTGACCCACAGCACCGTGCTGAGGTGGGGATGAGCATCCCCGCACCCCTGGGCGGCCTCTCTGCTGCCCACGCCCGCAGCACCCACCGGCACGGCTCGGTGGGAGCACAGGGGTCCCAGCACTCATCCCCGGGTCCCCCAGCCCAGCCCCTCCGAGGAAGAAGCTGCTCGCCGGGTGGATGATCTGCTGGAGAGTTACATGGGCATCCGTGACAGCGAGCTGGGTGAGCTGGGGGGCCTGGACCCTGACCCGGGTCTGCCTCTGCCCCTGCCCCAGCTCAGCCCCTGACCTGTCCCTCCTCCCGCACAGCCTCGACGATGGTGGAGGCGGCCAAGGGCAGCCCCGGCGCGGCCCAACTGGCCCGTGGGCTGGACTCGGTGCTGGGCGAGTTTGCCTTCCCCCCGGAGTTCGTGGCCGAGGTGTGGGCGGCCGTTTGTCACCCCAAGGACGGGCAGGAGTAGCTGGAGGGCTGGCAGTGCCCCTCGCTCCCGTCCCCACCTCGTCCCCACCCCACCTGGGGCTGGCAGTGCTGGTGGGGTGGGGACGAGTCCCCTGTCCCCTGACCCTCCTGAGCGCACCCAGGTCTGTCCCCTGGGTTGGGGGGCAGCAGGGCACCCAGCCCACCCACCTCCCCCAGAACCCCCCGCCGTGGTGGGCGGTGGCTGTGGGTCAATAAAGCAGAGGCTGGAGCAGAAGGGATGTTGCCGCGGTTGTCAGCAGCGCTGGGCCCCACCCGGGGTCCCCCCCGGTGTTCACCCGCAGCGAGCACCGAGAGCTGCACGAACTGTGCTTTATTGGGGACGGGGCCCTGTGCCCCCTGCCAGGGCTCGGGGGCGACGGGAGGCGGGGACAGCCCCTGGATGCGGGTGATGGGGACCCACCGAGGGGGCGGGATGGGGGGCTGGCCGTGCCCCCCCAGCCCGGGCGCTACTGCAGGACGGAGCCGGCGGTGAGCTTGCGGCGCAGGGAGGGCGTGAGGGACACGATGGAGGGCCGGGGGCGCAGCCGGGGGTACACGCGCTGCAGCACCGCCCGCCGGAACAGGATGTACACCCAGGGGTCCAGGATCTGGTTCCAGGTGACCATGCGGATGTAGATGAGCAGCATCTCCTGCGTGTCCGTGGGCAGCTCCTGTGCCCGCCCGCCGGGCAGGCGCTGCAGCGCCGTCTGCACGATGAAGATCTGGGGGAGAGAAAGGGGCAAAGCGTCACTGGGGGGTCCGTGAGCTGCGTCGGGGTGCGGGAGATGCTGAGGGTCCAGGCACTGAGCCCCTTGGAGGAGGGTCCCAGGCTGATCCCAGGGAGCACCTGCTCTGCCTGCAGGCAATGCTGAGCCCCAGAGACCACAACCCAAGGGCCAACCTGGAGTGCAGAGAGGTGGCACAAGGGGGACACTGAGACCCGGGGGGGGCCTCACCAAGGGGACACCCCAGACCTCACCAGCAGGAACATGGTGGGGCCACACTTGGACCTCACTGGGAAGAGCAGGGGGACACCCCAAGGGTGGGACAGGGAGGAGTGGTGATGGAGGGGGGCATCAGGTCAGGGGCCTCACCAGGAGGGGCATCCAGCAGATGGTTGCGATGATCATGATGCCCACGAGCTGCACCATCATCTCCACCTCGCTGTCGCGGCGCCGCTGCACCGACTCGCGGTCGTGGTAGACGCGGCAGAGTGTGACCACGCTGACGGTGTTGAGGATGAAGGAGAGCAGCACCGACAGGATGCCCAGCAGAGCAAAGAGCAGGCAGAAGATGATGTCGCCGGTGTCGGGCAGGAGGGTGAGGAAGCACCAGGAGCCGGGGAACTGCAGCGTGTACCTACCCAACCCCAGCACCGGCAGCAGCCCCAGCAGGCAGGAGAAGCCCCACACCAGCCCCACCATGGCCCAGGCACGGCGCTTGGAGATGCTGGTGGAGCGGGAGAAGGGGCGGTTGATGCCCAGGAACCTCTCTCCGGCCATGGTGGCCCCCAGCAGCAGCGGGCACTGCCCAAAGAACACCATGGAAAAGCCGAGGAAGTTGCAGAGGTGGCAGTCGGGGTCCACCTCGGCCCAGGGGAACTTGATGAAGTGGTAGGGGATGATGACCGAGGCTGTCACCAGCAGCCCCATGAAGTCCGTGACCACCAGCCCGCAGAGGAAGATGAGGAAGGAGGAGCGGGCGTGGCTGGAGAGCTTGCGGGAGGAGCTGAGCAGGACACAGAGGGCGAAGAGGTTGGAGCAGAGGCCGATGAGGCCGAAGGCCGTGGAGAACCAGGGCGAGGCGATGCTGCTCCGTGCGTTGGCGCGGCCGTCGCTGGCGTTGAACACCCCGAAACACGAGTGTGCCTGCCCAGCCACGCTGCTGTTGGGGGGCTCCATGTCCCCCACCCCCTCACGGCTCCTTCTGGCAGCTTCAGGCACCCTCCTGGCTCAGCTCCATGGGCTGTGCCCCCACTGCTGGCACCGAGCCCGCCTTGCCCTGCGGGGAGAAGGGAGGCGTTTAGTGCTGTTCCATCACCCCCCCCGAGCCTGGCTCCGGGTGCAGCCGTGGTGGGTGCCGAGGGCCCAGCCCTGCAGCTGCCGGGATTAACCGTCCTGGGCCACGGGCCACGTGGGGCTGCAGCCACGAGGCTGGATCCCAGCACGGCCCAGCACTGGCTTGGCTTGCTCCTGCTCCCAGGGGGACACAGCCTGACACCCCTGGGACATTTGCCCTCTGTCACAGTGCAGGGACCCACTCTCGAGGATGCAGGTACAGGGTGGCTGCCCTGGGGCATGATCCTGATGCTCTCCCCATCCCTGTGCCCTACTCCTGGCTCGATGGGGAGAAGCCTCATCCCTGCAGTGTTTGTGGGAAACTGAGGCACAGGCTGGGACATCCATGTCTGGAGCTGTGTACTGCAACCCTGGCACTGTGGCCAGCCCACACCAGTGTGGGTGACATCCCTGCTCTGCTCCCCTGGACCCTCCCAACGGGAACTGAGGGTTTGTCACCGGGATGGTGACAGAGCACATGGACTGACCGTGGGCAGCCCGGTCAGTGCCACTCTGCCTCACTGGGCAGTGACCTGGTGCTGGAAGTATCTGGCAGCTGGGAATCAGAGAATCTTGGAACATCCTGAGTTGGAAGGGACCCACAAGGATCATCGAGTCCAAGTCCTGGCCCTGCACAGGCTTCCTCTACTAATTAGTCCAGGCTGCACATGGGATAATGTGGGAGAGACCAGAGACATGGCAACTGCTGGGACCAACTGGAGACACAATCCCTTGCAGGGAGAAGACCCATCCTCTCCTCTTGGCACCCATTTCTCCAGGCTGTGGATATTCTTGTCACCCCACCTGCCCCATCCCACTTGCTGGCTGGCACAGTCCTCAGCCCAGTGGCCCCAGTGAGATGCCCAGTGGGCTGCCCAGCTGTATCCCAGCCACCCACCCCTGTAAACCCCCACTGCAGAACCCTCTAGTTCTGGCAACCTTGCCTTCCCCTTGTGCAGGGTGGCACTGCCACCTGTCCCCTGTCCCCAGGTCAAACCTCAAGCTGGTCCCCATCGGTGCCAAACCAGGCGTTTGGTCCATCACCCCACCCTGCTCCATGTCCCCATGTCCCAGGTGATCCCTGTGCCGTGTCCCACAGCCAGACACCCCTCAGCACCCCCTCCCGGCCCCTGGTTCGAGGGTGGCCGCAGGGCTGGGAGCCACCGCACACACCCGAGGCACGCGCCGATCCCACAGCCCCGGGGGCTGGGACGGGGCCAGGCATTGCAACATCTTCCTCTGGGGCCTCACCCAGGCGGGACGTGGGGCTGAGGGTGCTGGCACCCACCCAGCCCCACCTGTGCCCCTGTCACCAGCTGTGCTGTGGGTGCTGCAGCCCTGGGGAGCGGGGCAGGGGCTCAGGGTGGCAGCTGGGGCTTGTCCCCATCCCCATCCCATCCCGGGGCAGGGGGCTGGCAGATCACAGCAGTGATTCATTGCGAGGATGGGCCTGGCTTTTTCCATGAGCCAAGAGCCAAAACTTGCTGCTGTTTGTTCTCGCTGGTCCCTGAGGGATGTCCATGGCGGCCCCAGAAGTGTCGGGTCCCTCCAGATCATGGTCAGGCCTTGGCATGGCATTCCGGATCCCGGAGGAGTCGCCAGCCTTTCCCACGTCCTCTGGGAGGTGATAAATTCCCCCCTGCCCAACAGCGATGCCACAGGGGTGCCTGGCGTGGCAGTCCCACTCCTGCTGTCCCTTGCCATGGGCCTGCTCACACTCTTGGGGTTCTCTTGGGAGCGCTGTCCCCGAGCGTGTCCCCCCTGCCCCAGAGCGCGCCCTCTGCTCCCTGAGGGTCAGGAACCCGGTGGTCGATGCTGCCCCTGAGAGCCCCCAGAGACTCAGAGCCATGCGATGCTCTTGGCTGCCCAGCTGGCTCCCCGGGGGAGGATCTGACCCCTCCCCACAGTGGCCAGCGTGGGGGTCTCCCTGTGGTGGCACCGTGGCTGGGTGAGGTGCCACAAGGCCCAGAAGCTCCAAACCAGCCATCACCCACAGCCCCTCCCTGTCCTTCCTGCCCCTCCTGCCCCATCACAATCACAACTCGGACCCTCACCCACCGCCCAGTGCAGCCGGGCAGGGACCCCAAGGGCAGAGGGGGCACCCTGGGGTGGGTTTGGGGGCCGAGCAGCCGGGCCCCTGTGCTCAGAGCTGCCTCAGCCGGGCACTGCACTTAGAGGGAATCAAATATTAACGAGGGGCCACTTAAGAGCCGCAGGGCCACGAGAGAGGGAACCCCGGCAGTGCCAGAGCAAACCAGCGGCGCCTCCGGGAAAGGGATCGTGTGGGGGCGGGGGGAGTCCCCTCTTCCCCTCTCCCCCCATCACGGGCAGCACTCGGGTTTGGGGTTCTGGACCTGGTAAAACCCTCCCAGAGACATCCCATGGGAACGAGGGTTTTGCAAAGGGCACTGGGGTAAAATCCCGTGGAGAGGAGCTGTACCCAAAATGTGCTGCCGGAGCCTGCGAGGCACTGGCAGCAGCAAGGGAGGGGGGGTTGCTGCAGGCACTAATGGGGTTCCTGGCACTGCCTGAGCCCGAGGGTTGATGTTCTGCTGCAGATGCACCATGGCTGCCCTGCCTCCACCAGGCACTGCTTCCTGCCCTGGCCACATCCGAGGGAAAGGCGAGAGGCTGTTGGGGAGCAGGAGGCTGCTCCTTATCTGCTCCTGCCCCAGCCCAGTCCTTCCCCAGGCTTCCTCAGGCAGGACTGGGCACGGGGCTTGCAGGGAGGTGGGAGGGGAGGTTTGCTGGGCTGTGGGGCACCGCTGCAAAGAGACCCCCAAACCAGGCAACAGTGACTCCCCACACACCCCATGTGCAAGGCTTGGTGCTTGGCCTCAGGGCAGCCCTGCAGAAGGTGCTGCAGGACATTTACATTTTTCCCTTGTGTGGCCAGTCCCTCCTCCCTGTTTGGACCTCTCCAGGACAAGGACTTTCCCTTTAGGATCCCTTCTACTTCCACAGTCCCTGCTGCGGGTGGTCCCATGGTTGTGAGGGATGGACATGGTCCCACTGCCACCCACCCCCCAGGCTGGGGTTCTGGGGGCAGCAGATCAGCTCCAGGTCATCAGTTGGGGCAGGGATGGCCATGGTCACACCACGGGAATGGGGACCTGGCACAGGGCCCCAGTGTCCCTCCTTGGACCCACTGCTGGGGGAGCTGCCCTGGCCTGGCCCCGAGCAGGGACATCCCCGGGACACCCAGGACAGAGGACATTCCAGGGAAGCAGTGACACACAGGGTGGTTCCTCGCCTGTCCCTGCTGTGGCCCAGGGCAGAGGTCCCGAACTTCTGGGCTGGCTTGGAGACAACTGGCACCATCCCCATCCCAACCTCGGGGCCCCAGAGCCGGACAGGAGTGTCAGGGGGTTCACCCTGAGTGTCCTTGGGTGCAGGAGCCGGGGCTCGGCAGCTCTGGGGGGGCCGGACCAGGTTGCCCCCACCCGCAGCATCGCGGCATCTCGGGGGCGTCAAGGTCACTGGGTTGCCCATCCCGGCCTCCCGAAATAGCCCTTTCCTTTCCCGGCCCTTTCCCGGTCCTTTCCTGAATCTTTCCCGGCTCTTCCCAGCAGAGCCGGCGGCACATGGGGTCGGGCGGGGGCGGCCGGAGGGGACCCGTCCCGACAGGGGAGCCCCCAGAGCAAATCCTGGTGCCGAGGGGAAGCCCGGGACGTGCCCGCCGTGGACCCCCGGCCCCGGGGACAGACAGTGAGGGATGCCACGTCTCCGTCCCCCCCGTGGGGTCTCCATTTCCCCTTCCCCGAAACGCACCCGATCCTCGGTTTGTGTGTGAACTGGGCGGCTGAGCCGAACGCGAGTGCCCGGAGGGTCCCGAGAGAGCCGAAAGCCCCGCACGGGTGCCCCGCAGGCCCTCCGTCTGTCCGTCCCAGCCCTGCGGTCTGCCCACCCATCCTGGTCTCTGTCCATCCTTCCCGATCTCTGTCCGTCCATCCCAGACTTCTGGACTCTTTGTTCTCCTCAGCCTCCCCACCTCCGCATCCCTCGCCCCCTTCCAGCGCTCCCCTTCCTGCACAGACCCGGGCCCTACCTCACTGTCGGCGGGACCCACCCGGCTCGGCTCAGCCCGGCTCGGCTCAGCCCGGCTCCGCTCAGCCCGGCTCGGCTCGGCTCGGCTCAGCCCCGGGGGGGAAGGCGGGGGAAGGGCCGGGCTCGCCGCTCCCCCCGGAACCGGCCCCGTCCCTCTCCGCTCCCTCCCCGCTCAGGACGGGGTTCCCTCCGGGCGAGGGTCGCGCCCCGGCCCCATCGCCCTCGCAACTCCCGCAGCTTCCCTGGCGCAGCCCCCCCGTGGCGGTGCCCAAAGACCCCCGGGCGGCGGCCGCAGCACCCGTGGTTGGTCCGAGTCGGGGCCGGACCCGCCCCGTTACTCACTTGTTTACCCGAGTGGGTCCCTGTTTGGGCGGGGGGGGATCCGGCCGTGCCGCCCCCTCAGCGGGGGGTCCCACGGAGAGGGGAGTCCCCACCGAGCCCCGCAGCGGCCCCCAGACCCGGGAAGGGGGTGTCGGAGAGCCGGAGTCCCCGCAGCGTCCCTGGGTGCACCCGCAGCCCCGGGGAGGATTCGCACCCCGGAGGTTTTCCCACTCGGATTGTCGCTGCGCTGTCCAAAGCCACGGCCAGCCGGGGTGGCACATCCCCAGGCACTGTCGCCTCCCGCGGTCCCAGGACGCGACAGTCTCCGCTGCTGCTCGTGCTCTGCCGGGAGGGCACAGCCCGGCCCCGGCCCCGGCGGCTCCATCAGCTCCGGAGCGCTGGGAGCGCCTGAGCCCGCGGGGGACGCGGGGACATCCCGAGCGCGCAGCATCCCGCCAAGGCCGGCGAGGCCGGGCGGTGGTGGCCGGGCGGGAGGTTTTCCTGCCGCTGGCTCGGCACTGCGGGGCTGCAGACCCCCATCATCCCGCCGTGCCTTGGCCTGGAGCAAG